AATGTAATAATGAAGTTTATTATCCTTCAGAAAGGAAGAAATTGTTTACTGACCACTATTTGTAATTTCTTTTGCAAATGTGAACAAGAACATGCTTGATTTTAGCTAAGGTCTTGCTGCTGCTACTACTTTTACCATTTACAAATAAAGTAAATCCTGTCTAAAATCCAGTAGTGCCCATTGGAGCTTTCCTGTTGGGAAACTATTGCAGTGTCTTTCAAAAACATGGAAATAATGTAAAGTCTTGCTCTAGTCTGAGTAGAGACGCTGTAAAAATGGTACTGTGGGGTTTCTCCTGTGCATCTCAGTGATTACACTTGACATGTAGACTTAAAACAGAAAAAAACAGTAAGTGAAGTCTGTAGCTTTATTGATACAATGAACTGATTGGTCTTGAAGAGAATGTTAAATTACCCTTATGGCCACCCAGAACACTCCAGCAAGAAGCCCTTCGGTCACTCTGCATTTCTCACTTGAAGGAGGAGATACAGCCATCCATGCCTCCTGTCCTTCACAGCAGACTCAGGGACTCGCTTGCAGCAGACCAAAGCCCTGCCTGGGTTGGACACCACTTCCCAACATACCTAATGTGCTGTTTTACAAACTGCCTCTATGCTGTAACCCAGGAGTGTCTTGTACAAATACATTGACAGAATAACTAGACTTTCTGGCACCTGAGGGTGTGGCGGGAAAAAAGGTATAGTGTTGACCAGGTTTGCCATCCAAACCTGAAGGAGTGATGAGCCCCAGCCTGAGTAAGGCAGAACTGGTAGGATGAAGCACAGGAATATAACTATAGTGAAAGAAATGAAGGCACATCTCTGGAGGAGTAGGATTGTAGCTGTTAGCATCCCATCGTGCCTCTGTTGATCAATTTGTAGCTTGTAGGGGGAAAGGGGAAGCAGAAAGACCTTGTGCAATGAAACCTAAAGGACAGAGGAGAGGGAGGGCCTGCTTACTGACCATCCACTCTGCCTTCCTCCTTGCTGACTGCTACCAACACACCATTCATGAAAGATGTTAAAACTTATTCCATAGTTGGTCTTCCTCCACCCTGGTGTCTGCTTTCTCTGCAAGCTGAGATTCATTGTTGAAAGTCCTCAGTCTCCTACTTCCTCAGCATGGCTACCCACAGACCTCCCTCCTGCTACCCTTGTCTTGAACAGCTAAGGCTGTGGAGGGATGCAGGAGATGCATCTCCCTATGCAGCATGGACCACATGAGATTGCATCGGTAGCTTCTGTAGTCCACCATCCTGTGCCATGCCAGCCAAGCATCTTTCTTTATGGTTCAAAATCAGGGACCAGCATTGTCCTGGAGTGTTTGTTTTTAGCTGAGGCAGTTAACAGTTTGCACACAGTCATACCTAAGGGTTCGCTACTTTATTTATCCAGTGCACTGCAAGGGGTAATGTGATCATCTTGAGTATTGGACACCTGTAGGGCACCTGTTCTTCAGATTCTGTGGGGAGGACAGATAGTAAGGAGAGGGAGAGACCACCAGGACTCTCATGGCAACAAAAGATCATGTATTTGGGGAATGACCTGGGCTGCGTGCTTTGACGTGATACTTGTGGTAACCCATTGAGAAACACACAGACATAGCAGTGCTGTCCATAGAGGAGCAGGCAATGTGATCACTCTCTCCACAGGGAACTGGAGCATATCTACATGTTGGGGTCTAGATGCTAAACTCCTGTTTGTATCCAAACATTTCTTCCCATCTCCAGAAACAATCACAAACCAAGACAGCAAATACAGGGACTGGGCTGGGGGTACCAAATGTTTGGCTTGTCAGTGTTTTCGCTGTATGTAGCCCCATGTTTCATTATTAAAAAGCTTTTGTTTTGTTTTGATTTTGACCCTGAAGGCAGGTGTTTTCAACCTTTTGACAATCCAGAGTGTAGTTGCTCTGGATAACACATTGAAGACGCACATGCAGGGAGTCTGAGAGGCTTTTAGTGTTGCATTGGAGCCCATGAGGTTCTGCATTACTTAGCAAACATTAGCAGCAGCAGTCAGATGAGAAGCTTGGTAGTAAATCTGTTGTGAGGGTCAAGAAGGAACAACCTCACCTTGCAGTCTGCTGAAATTCCAGTTTAACCACTGAGGTATGAAAGTTGTACAAGAATGGAAAAGCAGAAAGCAAGAGCAAGCTTAAACTCAGCTTTATTTTGGTGTTTAGAAGTTGCACCAAAAAGGTGTAGAGTCTGTTAATTACTTTGGTAATTAGCACACAGATTTGTACACTGCTTTCCCATTCATCCCCCCCCAGAAACAGATTTTAGAAACCGTTTCCCTAGACATGGAAAACAGAAGTATTGTCAAGTGTCTTCTCTGAAAGTTCACTTGTCAAATCTAAGATAGTGTAGTTTCACCATGTTAAAGCTGAGGCAGGATAAAATGCTGCATGTTGCTTCCTACCTTGCTCAGCAGAGATATGGTAGCAAATTCACCTCCATGCATTGGCACAGTTACAGTGCTTTGTTTTCCCAGAGGGGCCAGGCCAGTTAGCTCTCCAGCAAGGCAGTGACAGGGCTAACATGCTTTCTTCTCCTGTTACTCAGTCTCATGACTGGCATTTTTTTTTTTGTCTTAGTTTAACAGATATTTGTTGGCTTTCTTGGCATTATTCCTCAGTAGACTCTCAGGTAATCACATGGGGCCATGTGTTGCCAGTGAATTATTTTGCACTCTGCTTAGCAGCCTGGCTGGTGTATACCACATGGAGCAACTGCTGGGTGAAAATCACACATGCATGCCTAGGAATTAAAAATCATAGGCAATTTTCTAAGCATCTCTAGATAGGCTTTTGAGTGTGGGACAAGGGAGGCTGGAAACTTTCTATTATTTTCATTACTTTGGGAGATGGGTCATTTAGAGCACCACTAGGTTAGGGTACATTGTTCTGTCTTGGCAAATATTTTGTCGAAGGGTACATACTATTTCTTTAAAGATATAGCCTGGGGGAGAGGAGGAAGAGTTCTTGGCAGAAACATTTATGTGAAGCAGTGTGATAGAGCAGCCAGGGAATATATTGCATGCCAATAAAGTTCCTTCTTCAGTGTGAAAAGGGCATGCTTTGTGAGTGACAGTGGGTCTTTTTTTACCTTTTGATATTTTAACTTGACCCATCCACCAGCATGCCTTTTCAGTCTTTTCCAAAGAGATGCCAAAGCTAAAGAGAATTTTTTTTTTTTTTTTGAAAGTAATCTGTGACCCAGCAAGCTTGGCTGTAAGGTTTGTTTGTTTTTCTCTCTTCCCCTGGTTCCTACTATTCTCTTACTCCCACATTCTATCCGACTCTTGTTTTCAAATGTATTCTTTAGCCTTCTCCTTCCCTACCTACTGCATCCTGTGTTCTGTTTTCTGACTTCCTTCTCTTTTCTTATAGCTTTTCTTTCCAGTTCCTCTTTGTTCTGGTCCCCAGGGAGCAAGGAGTGAAACATTAACAGTTGCTGGAGTACCGAGTTAGTATGGCTGTTATGAGTTTAGAGTTCAGGTGAGGGCTTTGGGAGACATCCTGTGTGTATGACATTGTGCCCCAGAGTCCTTTGCACTGCTTCATTGCTGGGGTAGCAGAGAGGAATGTTTTATCTGTGCTTCACCTGCTATCATCTACAGTCTGGCATTTAAGATAAAAATACTGATCAAAGTCTATCTTTGCTAAGATATGGATGTTCCAGTTATTGCAAGTCAGTTAACAGGCATAAATTGCTCTACTATTATCACTTCGATGTGTGTCTCATTTATAAAAAAGAAGCTGAAAAGCTTCAGACAACAGGGTAAACAAAGCAAGGGGATTTGAATTATGACATGTCTTGATAGGGTATATGGGAGTTGTAGGTACTATGACAGTGGTTTGGAAAACACCATTTCACAGTAAATTCAGCGTGTGTACCTCTGTCTTTCTAAGTTGGAGTGCTGCTTTTACAATAAAGCTCTTGGATTGGTAGGGCATACATCCCTGTCTTATCTGTACCTCTTTGTCAATTGAGGGTCACCATCCTCAGAAATCTATGCTTACAACACAGAATCATAGAATCAGCTGGGTTGGACAAGACCTCTGAGATCATCAAGTCCAACCCTTAACATGTTCAGGAACGTCCTCTGCTGATGTCAGTGTATCCTGAATATAAATCACAGGTATAAAATACATTACTAATAATATCTCCGTGTTGCATGGGTAAGGCTGGAAAATGTAGGTCTCTATTATCCTTCTGAGGATACATCTGTGTATTGCGAGCTTTCATAGTGTCTGAAAATACACCTTTACAGACCATATAGAGAGGAGCATTTTCTAGATGAGGTTAGCTGTAGCCAAAGGTTTGATTAGTCTGATCCTTGTGGTTCACAAAATCTACTAAATGGAAATGTGTTTGGAAGAACAAACTTTTTAACATAACAGTCAATGTGCTGGCAAATTTATCTTTCTGCTAATTATAACTGCCTGTGATGCCCAGATAGTTATCAGTTGTGTGCTAATGTAATCTTCTGTCCTGCTGGTTTATTTATAAACCAGGATTGGTCTGTTTATGTGTGGCTGCATATGGCAATTAGTTTTCACTTTTTATCTTACTTTACACATTTTTCTATATGCAAGACATAAGGAGGAATCCACCTTGTAAAACAAGTTTGATATAAATGGATTGGTGAGTAGATAATACCTGTCCTGTTGGAATACTATGTACTTTTACCAACATGATTCTAACAGAGAAATAAATAGAAAGAAATTAAAACCAGATATATTTTTTATCTATATATGTATAAAATTTCACTGTGTTTCAGATTTCTAGATGATTTTATACATTTTTCATTTAACTTTTGTAATTTAAAATATTGGGTTTGGGAATGTAACTGCAGTAGGTAGTTATTCTGTGATTTCTTGCAAGACTACTTGAAATAAAAAAGAAGCTAAAACAAAGGTGATTTTTAAAATGGGGAAATATACTCACACATATATATATATTAGTTTAACGCATATCTTCTATCTTGTTTCAGGTTGAAGAAACTTCTTGAGCAGGAGAAGGTCTATCAAGCCCGGAAGGAGAAGGAACATACAAAGAGAATCAATAAACTAAGAGAAGAACTAGTCAAGCTCAAATCATTTGCACTCATGCTGGTGGATGAAAGACAAATGCATATTGAACAACTTGGTCAACAAAGCCAGAAAATACAGGACTTAACCCAAAAACTAAAAGAAGAAGAAGAAAAGCTTAAAATTATTAGTGCAAAAACTAAAGAAGATGGACAAAAACTGATGAAGTTAGAGGCAGAACTTGAACACAAAACTTCATCATTTTCTCAAGAACATGAGGAGATGACTGCTAAACTGGGTAATCAAGAGTCACATAATAGACAGCTAAGGCTTAAGCTAGTGGGGTTGACTCGCAGAATAGAGGAGCTGGAAGAAACTAACAAAAATCTTCAAAAAGCTGAGGAGGAACTTCAAGAGCTAAGAGATAAAATAGCAAAAGGGGAATGTGGGAACTCTAGCTTAATGGCAGAAGTGGAAAACCTCCGCAAGCGTGTGCTTGAAATGGAGGGCAAAGATGAAGAGATCACAAAAACCGAATCCCAGTGCAAAGAGCTGAAAAATAAACTGCAAGAGGAGGAGCACCATAGCAAAGAGTTGAAACTTGAAGTGGAAAAACTGCAGAAAAGAATGTCAGAACTAGAGAAGCTGGAAGAGGCTTTCAGTAAAAGTAAGTCTGAATGCACTCAGCTACACTTAAACTTGGAGAAAGAAAAGAATTTGACTAAGGACTTGATAAATGAGTTGGAAGTGGTAAAGACTCGAGTGAAGGACCTTGAGACATCAGAAAGCAAGTTGGAAAAGGCTGAAATAAGCTTAAAAGATGACCTTACAAAGCTGAAGTCGTTTACTGTAATGTTGGTTGATGAACGAAAAAATATGATGGAAAAAATAAAACAAGAGGAAAAAAAGGTTGAGGGTCTAAACAAGAATTTTAAAGTTGAACAAGGGAAAGTTATGGATGTAACAGAGAAATTGATAGAAGAAAGTAAGAAATTTTTGAAACTGAAATCCGAAATGGAGGAAAAAGTGTCTAGTTTGACAAAGGAAAGAGATGAGTTAATTGGCAAACTGAGAAGTGAAGAAGAAAAATCCTCTCAACTAAGCTGTAGAGTTGACTTGTTAAAGAAAAGAATTGATGGTGTAGAGGAAGTAGAAAGAGAAATTACAAGAGGTCGAACCAGGAAAGGACCAGAGCATGGCTGTCATGAGGACAACAAGATTAAGGAACTCACTGTTGAAATTGAAAGACTGAAAAAACGCCTCAAACAATTGGAAGTGGTTGAAGGAGATTTAATGAAGACAGAAGATGAATATGATCAGCTAGAGCAGAAATTTAGGACTGAGCAGGATAAAGCTAACTTTCTTTCTCAACAGTTGGAGGAAATGAAACTCCAGATTGCCAAAACCAAAGCAATAGAAAAAGGTGAAGTGGTGAGCCAGGAGGCAGAACTGAGGCACAGGTTTCGTCTGGAAGAGGCCAAAAGCAGAGATTTGAAAGCAGAAGTTCAAGCTCTTAAGGAAAAAATCCATGAGCTGATGAACAAAGAAGACCAGCTTTCTCAGCTCCAAGTTGATTATTCAGTTCTGCAGCAAAGGTTTATGGAAGAAGAAAACAAAAACAAGAGTATGGGGCAGGAAGTTCTGAACCTAACAAGAGAGCTGGAGCTTTCTAAGCGTTACAGCCGTGCTCTGAGGCCCAGCATAAATGGACGAAGAATGGTCGATGTCCCTGTGACATCCACTGGTGTGCAGACAGATGCCGTAAGCAATGAAGCAGCAGAAGAAGAAACTCCTGCAGTGTTTATAAGGAAATCCTTCCAGGAGGAGAATCATATCATGAGCAATCTGCGACAGGTAGGTCTGAAAAAACCCATGGAGCGTTCTTCAGTGCTCGAGAGATATCCTCCAGCAGCAAATGAGCTTGCTATGAGGAAATCTTGGATACCGTGGATGAAAAAGAGGGAAACTGGGGCTCAGGCAACTCCTGATAAAGGAGCCCGGACCCACAGTAGTCCAGCACATCCTGGAGAGGTTGTCCTTTCACCAAAACAGGGTCAGCCTCTTCATATTCGGGTGACAACAGACCATGAGAACAGCACAGCAACTTTGGAGATAACCAGTCCAACTGCAGAGGAATTTTTTTCAAGTACCACTGTCATTCCTACTTTGGGAAATCAGAAGCCACGAATAACCATCATTCCCTCTCCAAACGTTATGCCACAAAAAGGAAAAGGCAGTGAAAGTCCAATGGGCCCAGATCGTTCTATGTCTCCAGTCACTATAACAACGTTCTCCAGGGAAAAGTCCCCAGAGGGAGGGAGAGCACCCTTTGCCGACAGACCTGCATCGCCAATTCAGATTATGACAGTATCAACATCTGCAGCACCAGCAGAAATCTCTGTCTCTCCACAGTCACAAGATATGACCATGGGAAGAGCTGTCTTCAAAGTAACACCAGAAAAGCAAACCGTCCCGACTCCAATCCGCAAGTACAATGCCAATGCCAACATTATTACGACAGAAGACAACAAAATCCACATCCACCTAGGTTCCCAGTTTAAACGTTCTCCCAGTGCTGTACCTGATGGTGCAAGTCCTGTGATAACAGTGAGACCAGTGAACATAGCAGCAGAGAAAGAAGTTGTGACTGGTACTGTCCTTCGATCACCTCGAAACAACCTGTCCTCGCGGCCCGCAGCGAGCAAGGTGACAAGTACCATCACTATAACACCTGTTACAACGTCTTCCACCCGAGGAACACAATCAGTGGTAAGCAGCCTAGTCTCATGATGTAGTCTTCGTGGTAAGGAGAAGGGCAACTCTGGTTTGGATTTGAGACACCAGAAGGAAAATGGGTGAGGTGAGGAGAAACTCTTGACTTCCCTACATTTGTTTCAGATACGAGCTTAAATATAAGATCAGAATTTGCCTGATTCATATATTTTTGTACCACTATTGGATGCTGATATACTTTTGGTATTATCTCCTAAAGGAGTAATTTTCAGAGGAAGTCCCTTCAAAGTTACTTTCAAGTTATTTTCATAATGGCAATCCAGTAAAATTGCAAGTGAGAGACTGACGGACAAAGAATGATGGAGATGACAGAGTAAGAAATTATATTTTTATTTTCTGTGAGTGCAATTCCTGACTTTTGAAAATACTCCTCATATTTTTTTAGCTTGGCTGCCAGGTCTTTAGACTGATCATGCAGGCTGGTGTTTCTTTGGTATAATCCCATTATAGTTATAATTCAGTTAATGTCTGCTCTAATACTGAACTCCAAAGGAATAAGTGAGCAGACATATTATCATTGCTTACAGCTCCAAGCCTCTTTCAGCCAGTGAATAGTAAAGCTCTTTTTGTTCCTCTGAACTTCTGCAAGTGCTGTATTACAATAGTGCTTCCTTTAACATATTTTCTTCTGCTTTCCCTCTGGGCTTCTGTGGTGGTACCCCAGCTTGCTTTTCCTACTTCAATCAGTTTCTCACCTCTGTCTTTAACCACAGTGGACAGTATTTATTGATAATCCTTCCCCCGGTTTATTATTGGATGCAGTTTTGTGTTGCTTTAGTTGGAAATACCCTGGGAAAGAAGAATTTAACTGAAATAGAAAACCATCAGTACTGTATTAGTCAAAAAATTTACTCTTACTTAGCTAGACAGAGTCTGCAACAGATGCTTAGGGGAAGATTATTTTGAGTAGGTAAACACACAGTAATGTTTCCCTCAGTGTCTGTTGCTAGTTTTTGGCAATAGGTGGTTATTTCTTTCTGAACCAGGGCCTGTAGCAACATCTTTGCCTTTAATAGACTGTGGCTGAGTTTTCTTCTATTTATTCTTTAAATTACTTTTTGAACTCATTTATACTGCTGTTTCCACAACATCAGGGGGCAGTGAATTCAGCTGTGGGCTTTGGAAAAAATGCTCTTTTGTTCAATACCTTTTATGCAATACCTTCATTGTTTACAGCTTCTTTCTTGTATCTTGAAAAATACTGAATAGTCATCCCCTGTTCATTTGTCCATGCAGCTCAGGAGTCTGCAGACCCCTACAACACGCCTCTTCAGCCATCTCTTTCCAAGCTAAAATATCGAAGTGTATTTAAGATACACTTCCACACCTTTGCAGAGAGGCTGCCATTCCCATTTAAGCCTTCTGACATTAAGAAAACTTGCATTCATCGTACAGATTTGTTTGGGGTTGCACATGTGCTGTCTCTCTCCCCACATATATAATGTATTGTTGTACATTTACTGTACAGTGCTTTCCTACGTATTAGAGGCAACTGTTCATTTTTTAAAAAGTCTTGAAATAATTAATTTACAAACTACTTTGTCTCTCAGAAGCTTGGAAAACTTGTTTTTAAACTTTTCTTTTTAACTAGATGTCTGTCTCTACTGTGATGATGCACTGAACCATGGCAGACAAAACTTTTTTGTTTTGTTTTTTTCTGGCTAAAAACTGGTTTCTTTCTTCATCCTTCCTGATTTGGAATGTAAGGAAAATAGTTCAACCATAAGATTTACTTTATCTTATGCTTCCCTCTGCTTTTTAATGTCCCTAGTTAGATGAGCAGGCAACTTCGAACAAGCCCAAATGTGCCTTTTCCTCCCCAGCCTCCTGCAAAAAAAAAAAACAAAAAAGAAAAGATGCATATTCGCCATCTGTTTTGCAAATGACAACTTTACAAAACAGTCAGAAAAAAACAAGTATCTGATCATTTACTCAGTAACCCTAGCAGAAACCAACATTGATACAATGTTGAGGGTTTAAGTTAATAAAATCAAACAAGACAAATTGATACACAGCTGCTTTCTTTAGCTCACTGGATTTAAGTTTTGTCTTAATGTTCCTCATACAAGATGCTTTGTACAATGTGCTAATGCAGTGCCAAGCTACAAAGGGGAAGTCTGAAATTCCTAGCTCTCATCTCTTCCTATAACAGATTTGCAGTTACTGTATTCCTGTTTGAAAACATTTAGTTTTTCCCATTTGAATTTATAGTTATCTTCAGTGTGCACACACAGTACTTTTAAATGTTCAGCCTGAACTGTGGTGTCTCTCTGCATATGTGAGTCCAAAACCAGAGTCTGTGATTTCATTGTGGACCCTCATGATTTTTTAATCCCATGAATCCCATGGATTAAGAGGGGTTCTGGTTGCATTGATTTACACTGACATACTCTATAGAGTATCTAGAGATTTATATTTTATTATATAAAATGAGACCCTGTCCAAAAAAAGACACAGGCATCTGAAGGAGAACATGAGAAATTTTTGAGCATTTAATCAAGAAGAATCAAAAAAGGCACCCCTCAGTGACAATATCTCCACTCGTACCCGGACTCACTGGACTCAAATGTTTTGGAAGTGCTTCATGTTGTGCCTGCTGGACAAGCCCAGGGCTGGCCAGCTGAGCAGCAGGTCTCATCACAACAGTCCCACAGGGGTCTCCATGGCAGGAGCTGATGTGATGGAGCCTATTTGATCAGTTGGATTGAGTTCTGCATTTAACAGAATCATCACCACTTTGATGAAAAAAAAAAAAAGAAAAAGAACCAAACCCTAAAATGGTAATTGCCTTTTCTGTGGCAGCCTATGGATTTAGACAGTTCCCACAGAAGTAGAAAACAGGGGGGTTGGTTCTCCTTAGCTTGATTAGAGTCAAACCCACTCCTAGGGAGATACTTGAACTACCCTAGCAGACCTAGGAGATTATTTTTTTTATTACAGGTGGACCACAGAGTATATGGAGACCAAAATGAGCCTGAAACTGTAGCCTGGTTGTTAGTCTTGCCTTAGCACATTGGCCCAAATTCCTGTTCCCAGGACAGTTCATACAGTTTACAGTAAAAATCCCACAAAATAAAAACAAATATTCTTTGTGGACAAAAACCCAAACAAACTGTGGTGCCTATATCCTGTTTTTTGATTCAAGCCCTATATTTGGTTGTAGGATTGCTGCTGAATTTGAATCTTCTTTGGATACCAGGATAGGTGTCAGTATTATAATCACATAATCCTTGTGCTCCCCACCTCCTACAAGCCTGACATCAGTGCCAGCTGTTTATGCTGTCAGGCTCCACAGTGACTTCAGTGCCATGCAAATCTGCAGGAAGCAGAGGGAATCCTGGCTGCAGCAGAGCCAGCGTAGTGGCACAGCACCAACCATGCAGAGCGTCCTGTGACCAGAGCAGGAAGGCACAGCTGAGAGGCTGTTGGGTGCCAGAGCAAACTAAACACACATTTATGCAGCTATAAGGCTACTTTCGTTTGGGCAGCATTTAGTTTGAGGTCGGCATCTAAATGTAGCTCTTTGTAGGTGACCCAGATGTGCTCTAGGCATCTGCTAGAGCTGCTGGAGATCCAGGGATCAGCTCATTTGCCCGTGCAGAGGTGTGTGGTGGTGGCTGTGTGTCCTGTAGCAGTTGAGACACATACCTGAGGCTGGGAGGCATAGCACAGAGCTGTACCTTTCTGCTATGGCAGCTGATGGGACACCTCAGATGGCACAGGATGCCTCAGTGTGGGCACCTGAGTCAGCCTGTTGTCATCAGTCCCCTTGTCATCACTGAGGCCTGTGTGCTGGCTCCATGGAGACTGGAGCGTGATTTCAGCTGAGACATGGCTAGCTTCAGTGTGAGCTGAATTGCCCACTGGGGTCCATTGACTGTATTGGCTACTTCTCCAGTCCCACTCTTTCAGGATGCAATTGCCTAAACATACTTTTTTAGTGTCATTTTAAGTGCCTACCTAACTTCCAGCTGCTTTATCAGAGATTGCATGTCTCCTTGGGTCCTGTGGCTTATCTGCCAACTCTAGCTTAAGTAGCCCAGGGCATCTCAAATTACACTAGGTGTCTGTTGGTCACTGAACTGAACCATTTCTGTCCAGGGCAAGCTGGGCCCTGATCAGATCAGGGACAAAAGCTGAAAATCACCTTTGTTCTTAAAATATTCCAGAAGTCAACGTGTGCATGAAAGCACTGGTGTGTGTCAGTAAAATGCACCAAGCAAGATTTGTTACAAACTACTAAAACATGCTAAATGTTTTGTACATTCAAATTGCTTTTCTTCCTTTAATGGGACTGTCCAGCCTTACTGCAACTTCACAGGTTAATAAAACCAGCCAGTGTCCTTGGTGAGGGCTGATGATTGACTAAACCAGCTCAGCAGTTGTGTGTGTTCATCCCACTCTCAGTAATGTCTTTAGTAACCTCACTTGAGTCCCCATGGTGTTCCAACACCACATAATGCCTCACTAGCTCAGAGCCAGCCCACATCACCCAGCGTCCCATGGGGTCTCATCTCCTGCGCTCCATGCCAGCTGTGTAAGAGTTCCTTTCTGTTTGGACCCACATTCCTGGATCAAGCAAAAGGCAGCAGCCTACAGACAAACAGGGCTGGAAGGAATGGCCTAGAGTTTGTTTCTTGGAAGGAATGGCGAAGAGATAGACAGCGTGTGGGTTTTCTGCCAGACAGGACAGACACAGAGGAGAGTGTCCTCTGCTTGCCTGCCCCGTCACGCACCAGAGGGGACTGCCGGCTGGAGAGGCACCTTTGTGCCATTTCACTTGGCAAACACAAAATACTTTAGCAGCTGCGTGTGAAGCAGGCATTAGCTTCCATAGGATGAACATGTTAGTATGCTGTAAGGAAGGCAACTAAGAAATTTAAACCAAGTTAGAGTTCTTTTCAAAGTGCTTTTGAGTGATTTAGGCTTGAAATGAGTAACTTGAAAGCGCCCAAATCCTCAGTTAATAATTTACATGTGAATAAAGCTGAAGAAATGCCTGAGATTCCAGCTACTTCATTTGATTGCCTCATGTTTACACACTGTGGAACTCTTTCAGGGAGAACAAGATGTTTGTCATTTGGGTTCCCTGGGATGTTGACATATTTTCCAAGGCTGATGGAATGCATTTGCATGTTTTGCCCTACACAATTGTATGGGCCTAACTTGTTTTGACATCTACATGTGAGTTCCATATTAGCCTTTACACTGCTATTGTAAATGTTGCTCTTAGTTATTGAAAATGGCTTCCTTCCTGTCAAGCAGACTGCATTCAAGTTTTCCAATTGTGATTTTTTTTGAGTGTACACATGGGGTTTTGAACTGTCCTTAGAAGAGTAAGGAATGGTTTTCCTTTGCATACTCAGGATGCAGACAGAAAGCTCTGATGCTACTGACTGAAAAATGTTGGAGAGAGAAAAGTGCTCCTTTGTTGAGCATTTTTACGAGCATTTTTTAGTAAATGTGCAAATACATATTGCAGCTGACATGATCCTTTAATTGAATCTATTTCAGTAGTTTAGTTTTATTTTACTTAAGTGTCATAAATTACATGGTTTAGTAATTTAGCAGATGGGCCTAGCTAGAATTCCAGGATCTTATGAGAATTGTTCTCTTTCGTTAGATCAAAGTCTTCATCCATTATCTGAACAGAAAACAGTCACATATGAAAGTCAGCCGAGACACTGAAGTTGTCACCATGAACATTTGTGTCTGTATTGCACACTGCAGGAGATAAAGCCCATTTTCCTTTCAGAATTGTCATGTTTAGAAGTATTCTCTTTAGGTCATGGTTCATAGGGGGTAGCTTCCAGTTTTGACGTTGCGGAGTACGTGCATCATTATCTGGCCAACAGAGACAGAAAATGCAATTGGCCCTTTTGAATCTTTTTATCCTATCCAAGTACTCCTTGTGCATTTACAGGGTGGGATTCAGTTGCCTAAGCATATGAACTGATTGCAGTTTCAAAGCTATGGGATAGCTTTGGCCTGGCCTCTGTGTCAGACTCCAGAAGGGCACATGAGCCATGTCGGGTCTGCCAGCCCCAGACCAACCACTTAGGCCATTTTTATATTTTTTTTTTTTAATTCTGAAGTACTCACACTTGAGGATAAGTGTGCTTGGTAGGCTGTTGGCCGGGGCAGCAGATTGGCAGAAACAGTAAAATGACCATGTCCACACTGCCATGAGGTATCCCTGGAAATCTGGGTTGGCTGCTTCGCCTTCACGAGAGTTCATCAAGTTGTGGGTAGGACTAGAGGGGGAGAGCCTTTTCCTACATCCTTCCTACCACAGTCACAGGAAAAGGAAATCCCAATCTTTGCTCTGTCTCTTTCTCTCAACCCCCCTGCTCTTCCAGTGCAGAAATAAGTGGGCCCAGCCATGACCCCAGCATACTTTGTGAAGTAAAATTCAATTTTATCTATAATGCTGAGCTATCATGCCCCAGCTCTGAAAATATGGCAGTTACCCTGGGTTCAGTGTTAGCCTCACATGGCTATACTGTTTTGAGGACCCTTGTTAGTCTCTGTACACAATGCTAATATTGTACCTGTCTGACAACTAAGCCAGTGTTCTGGTATCCTCTAAGGTCAGCCTGCACTGTGTTCTGCTGTGGAATGGGAGTTTTGCAACGATTCCCATCCTGATCCCATCTTGATCCAAAACACTGGACCTCAGATTTGGGAAACTCATTTGATCTCGACTGTACCTTCAGCCATATTCTAGCAGTACGTGCCACAGCCAGATTCCAAATGTGAACGTTACTTGATTTGGAATAGTGTTGTTTAAGAGATAAATGAAGAACCAATGAAAAGTGTAAGGTAAGAATATATGAGAAGAAAAAGTCCTCTATTCATGGCATTTTTCTCTGTCTCTCTCTTTTGCAGACAGGCCAGGATGGGTCATCCTCGAGACCTACACCCACCCGCATTCCTGTGTCAAAAGGTATGAAAGCAGGAAAGCCAGTAGTGGCAGCCCCGGGAGCAGGAAATGTGACAAAATTCGAGCCTCGTGCCGAGACTCAGTCTATGAAAATAGAACTGAAGAAATCTTCAGCCAGCAGCTCTGCCTCCCTGGGCGGGGGTCAGGGCTGATGGCAGTGGCTCAGGGGGTACGTTCTGCAGGTTTTACTGCTCCCATGGAAGTCAGCCCCCCCTGTCTGTGTAGTTGCTCATGTTTGCCTGTACTAATGAAGTCCTGCAGCTGTCACTTACAAAAAACTAATAAGTGTGTGCACTGACTACTTAAGTAACTATATCCTTTTGTTTTCTTGAATTCACGTTTAAAAAAGGAAAAAAAAAGCCATCATAAAGGCAGTTCTTGTACGCCAGAAAGATTTTCAGTCTAGGAAATGAGAATGGTGCAGCTAAACTAGGTTATTAATCTAGTTCAGGAATTCTTAATGATGGACTTGGTCATTTGAAGGAAGTTCGGTCACTTTTACTGGTTGTCTTTCACCTTAGCGGATCACTTTTCACCTTTGCTACTGCATGGGACACTTTCCTTCCTGCTTGTGATCACATTATTGAAATGCCACTTGGCCTAGGGAAGCAATGCCAGGAGACAGTGCACTTGAGGTCCTGTTTTACTGAAAGCTAGTACCTCAGCTGTGGGAGGGAGGGGAAGAGAGAAAGGATGGGCACTGTGTGACCTGCCTTCTCTCGAGGAGCCTCCCATCCAAGTCAGTGTTTCTTAGTGGTGAGGTGCTTTCTCAAGATAGTTGCAGAATTCAGGGGCATAGGGATGTAGCACAATGCTTGGCAGCAGCAGTGTTAAGCACCAACTTAATTCTTCCAGAGGGAATTAACATTTGTAGACAGTACTCAAAACCAGGTCCCTGACTTACACACACTGGGTACTGCCAGCTCAGTGCTCAGATGAAGCTACATGAGCAAAAAAGTGTTTAGTCTTTAGCAAAGCTGAAGAAACACTGATCTGGCTAAAATCAATACTGTCCATTTATGGCTGCTCCAAAGATCACTAACGCTATGAAGCAAGTCACTCTGTTGACCTGACCAGGTTTTCAGTTGTTGTTTTCTTTGTTGGGATCTTATATTTAAACCTTAGTTGTCAAGCATCTGTATGTCTTAGAGGGGAAGTCAATACAGACTGCTGGTGGCAGTAATTGCTATCTAAAGGCACAGCTCAGGCACAGACAGTGAAAGAGAGAGGGTTTGATAAGGAAGTTAGTCTCATTTTTCAGTTCTGTATAATATGTTGTCATAAATACAGACTGCCTCACAATACCATGGTGATTCATTGTTTTTCCTTCCCTCTTTGTAATTTCCTCATTTATATGCTTGCGTTTTTTAAGCATGTTCTAAGGAATTGTTCCAGCATGGAAATAGTGTGGATGCCCATGATTGTTATGATTTTTTATTTAATAACAGTAAAGTTATTAAAGGACATTTCCATTAAGCGATCAATTTCCACAGAAGAAAGTCTCAACCAAAAGAAATGGAGCCAAGCAGACCAATAAGTGATGGGTTTAAAGTTTGTATAATGCTTCAACCATCTCAGCAAGCTGTGAAGGACCCAGTGGTTGAAACAGCTTTCAGAAAGCAAGGCGGGAAGACCACCCATAAATAATAAATACAATTCACAGAAAGGAAAATGCACCCGTGGGTGAAATATGAAATGGCTTTCTGTCTAGGAGAAGAGATTTGATGGAAGAATCTGTCACAGAAGGTCAACAAAATTATATTCATCCAAGCAGTGTTTAGTTTTCAGTCTGTGATTTGCATTGCTCTCCACTTTAAGATCCAGATATAGCAATTAGCTGACCATAAAACTGGTATTTTATTATTCGCATGAAGGGCATTTTTTAATTTGCCACATCAAAAAAGAAGTAGGTTTTGGGTTTTTTACATATGTAGCACCTACAGTACCTGTTAATTCTACGGTTCTGGTTCCTATGGCATCCAAAAATCAGATTAATATTTGTATCATTTTTCCTAACACCCTATTCAGTATTTCAGATAAAACTTGGAAACTGGAGTTATCAAGCAATGTGAGTTACTGTTTCAGAAATACATCAGATGCTCTCAAGTAATTCTTATCACTTGAAAGCCTCAGTATGTCAATAAATTGTTGCTGAGATCTTACTGTTCTTGTTGTAACACGGATTTTTTAACAGATGTTTGAAGAAAACACATTTTTAAGAGCTTTTTGCTGGATATTCACTCTAAATACTGGCACTGAAGCAAGTCTTAAGGTCAAAACAGTCATTTAAATAATATTGTGAACATGAGCCCTGAGCTAATGTGGCTTGATACAGTGATGAACTACAGCTGCCTTTTAAGCCTTCCTTATGTCAAAGAAACTTAGTTCCTTAGTTAACTGTTGCTGCACTCAAGGCAATGTTCTGTGCGTGCCTGTGGTTGAAAATTTTTTTTTTGTTTGAGGTCTAAGAAACTAATTCACCTGCAGAAACAAGCCAGCCACACAGTACCTGAAGTCCAGGGCACACAAACTGGTTCAGCTAGAGCCAGAACTGCAGGCACAATCTGGGGATTGCTCCTATGGCGTCAGTAGGATTTGATGAGACAGATTTGAGAAATTCCAGACAGGTCAGACTGAGGATCCTGTTATTTTTCCCAGGGGGAGCACAACAAAAAGGAACGTTTGCTCCACAGCAGAAACCTAAAGAGTTGGAATCAGGCAGCTGGTTTAACTGTTAGCTAAAAATAGATATTTAGTTATAAATTTTAACATCTGTTTTAATTGAACTTATCCTTGTTTCTTAAAGGTAGAAGAAGGTTAAGATGAAGAAAAAAGAAAGCCTATAGTTCAGAAGTCTTAAAATTTGAAGTGTCACTCTGTATTATATTGGAATTTCCTCTAAGTCTGAAGGCAATTATGTTTAGTGACTACAGTAAGATTCTCCATTCAGTAGGTCAGGTCCAGAAGGCACTTTAAACAACCAAGTCTAAAGACAGTGTCTAAGCCCCAGAGGCATCCTGAAGATCTTCCTGATGTTCTTCCACTGCCTTTGTCTAGTCAGGGTTTCTGTTGTGAGTTAACTCTAGCACTGCGGCCTCTGAACCTCACCAAGATCCATAATCCAGGTATTCCTGTATTTCTTCTAAGAGCTTCTAAGTCAAGCCACAATTTCATGGTCACTTAAAGTCAGGATGTAATCCCACACTGGAGCGAAAAGCTGTAGTCCTGTCTTTGTCAACTCCAGCCAAGAAAGTGCTCACTTAGTCACTCAACATGTGGTTGTCCCTTGAGCTGGCACAAGTGTTTGAACCTAACTGGGGAACTGATCTGAATTAAAAGGAATCTGGCAAAACAAAGAAAGGCTAGCTTCAATATAGCTTAGTTCCAGGCTCTCAGGCCAGAAAAAGAAGGAAGGCACAGGAAACCAGGGGCTGTTTTAAAGTGACTGGAATCATGAAGGCTTCCTAGTAGATAAATACCACGGAAATGGAGGGGTAGTACTGCTTATTTTAAAAAGTTTTTGATTGAAACCTTTTTTCAAATGTAGGAGACAGATCCCCCTTCCCAGCAATACCTGAGGAGACTCAAACTCACATCAGCTGCAGGCAGGTTCACCAATGGCACTGACAGACTGAGGGGGGAAAGAAGGTGGCATTCTTATTCCCTCCTTTGAAGGCTGTGCTGTTCTGCATGAAGTGCTTCAGTATTCACTGAGCAGAAACAAGTGAGTGGTTGAGTGGTCAGGATATTGAACTAGGAGGAGGGAGCCCCCCTGTTTTCATGTCCCTGTTCCAAAGGCTGCCTTTGAGCCCAGCCTTTTGTGAAAAAAAAGCTTATAAGATGAAGTGTCTGTGTTCGTCCATCGTTCCATCTGTCCTTCCCTGATGAATAACACTGAACAGATCAACCAGTTTCAACCAAACCTAACAAAGCAATAGGGGTCTTCAGAATAAGAAGTTTTTCCAGTTTAATGAAAAGGGTGGCAGAGAAGAGGAGCAAGATCTTAGCAGTACCCCACTGCGTGGAAGAGTAGAGCATGAGCTCACCTTCATACAGCATCAAAGAATGAACACAAGAGAGTGATGTCAGAAGTACCACAAGGACAAGCTTTGTTCAAACCTCAGATTTGACAAGGCAACAAAGAATCCAACTCTGATACACTAATCCATAGGAAAATACTAGGGCCTTTATTTACAGGGCTTTTTTGTATTCTACGTTAGTGGATTATAATGCGGAAAACAAGCTTTCCTAACGGATCATCTGGAATCACTCATCCTCATACTTTATCTCTCTTACCTTTTTCTCTGTCATTTTGATTGGTTTTTATTTTTTTAATGAAGTGGAACAATTTCAATAGCAAAACACACTCAACTCAGAGTCATAATGATAGTTAAAATGGTTCGTCAGGAAACTAAGGTGGCTGAGAACCAATCTTTGCATTTTTAGTTGTTTTCAACATCAGCTGGAGAGATATCCTGTTTTGGCTGATGGCATGGCCATATAAGCAGTTGTGATAAGCCAAGCAATGGGAACATAGGACAGCAGTAAGGTGGAGAGGGGGAAGAGCAGGGAAAATGCCAACTCATTCATGAGCAGCACACATGGACCGAGAAGGTGCACCCTCAGTTCTCCAAGTGATCTCTCTGATTTTAAATTTAGTTCATAATAAGTGTTCTACTGTGTTTCCTACGTTGGATCCCATCACCAGAATTACTGCTACATGTGAGTATTGCTAATGTAGTCATTAGCAGATCAATACATTTGAGAAAGTGTGACTAAAAATGAAGGAGCACAGAGCTTCAACCCTCATGCCTGAGGGATTTCTCTCAAGATTGGTAAACATGCTAAGTTAATGGTAGAGGAAAAACAGATTTTCATTTATTTTGCGCACCGTTTTTCCTTTTGTGACACCCATTGTGTGAATTTTGAAAAATCAAACAACACTTTGTGGTTCTTCTGAATATGTCCACGGAATATGCATGTTACTGTATTTAAACCACAAACCACTTATGGCTAATAGTAATTAGCATCATGTGAGTAATCTCTAAAGCCACATTAATATATTGATTCACGCCAACTGGATGCCAAGTCATAGGTCACTGCCTGAAATACACTACTCATGTTCAAAAACATGCTCAATATTTACATGAATATTCAGTAATTCTGATCAGATGTGGAAGAGCATGTCTTTAAAGAGAGTAAGCTACTGTCCTGCTGGGTTTCAGGTACTTGGCATAAACCACAACAGTGAGGACAATTTTAAGACCAATTATATGTTCCCATCACACATCAGTGGCCAATTTCATTGAGTTGCTTTGAAATACGTAGTTTGCTGGCAGGAGTTTCTGTGAGCTCATCTTTCAAACTTGTTTTCATTTAGGGGAATGGCTTTTCCCCCTAACGTCAGTGTGAGTTATCCTTATTCCCTTAATTTTGCCTGAGCTCTCTCAGGCAAAACTATATGCAACATTTCTCTTTGCAGATGTTAACTTCACTTTGAATCTTACTCGCTACACACTGCTCTTAACCCGGCTTTTTTTTGAAAATGCCACCAGGGTTAACTACTGTGAGGTTCAGAACTATCAGCTCTGGGAGTCAGGTGTGAAACACTCAGGTGTGAATTGTTCTCCCAACCAAAAAACTCTTATTGGGATTTAAAAAATAGAATTACTGATGTATGTACTCTTCTGTTGCTTGGGCGTGTGCTGTCTGTTGCACATAGATTTTTGTATTATCTGGTGTTACTTGTTTGTATATATTGTAAGAAGAAATTAAACTTTGTATGTTAAAATGTCAGTTTATGTGCTTCATTATATGAACCGGTATCCTGACGTGTTTCCTGGAGAAGTTCTGATTTACATCAGTGGGACTAAAAGCAGAATTAGCTGTTTCACATTAACTGTCATGAAAATCAATTGTTTAAGTTAATTCATAGGTCCTGGAACTATTCACATCTATAATGCTAAAAAAATTTATGTAATCATATCATTCTGATATAATCATATTCCTACAGAGGCTGGTCCAAAAGAACTCTTACAAAATGTGCCCTACTCTAATTTTAGCTTAATAGCTGCTCAGACACCTCTTTTAGTAACTACAGTATGTGTGTGTGTATAATATATATGTTTATATATATGTAAGCATTTCAAATACAAACAACTGATAGACAATTATTTGATTTTTTTGAAATAGTTTCTCCTACTCTTATGCAAAATTGCTATATTGGGCCTATAGGAGGAAGACTGCTTGAGAAACATGCTGTAGTTTTGCTGTTCATTCAGTGACTGAGCCTTAACAAGGATATTTTTCTGCTACCCATTTAGTTTTTAGAATTTTGTGTCTAAACTCCATATTAATATATACTGTGCATAGTGAATATTAAGAAAATAATTGTTTCATATAGAGTTCACATGACTCCCATTGAAATTAGGGGAGAGTTTGCCTGAGGTTACAGTCTGATATTATATAAATGCAGATTTTAACATAATATTTCACAAGAGCTTCAAGCTAGAACAGCAGTGGTTGTAAGGTAAATTCATACAGTAGTCTGTGATTCTTTCACATTCACTGCTCAAATGTGGTAGAACTGGTATACATATCTGTTGAAAATCATTTGTTAATGATAAGTTGTATGGAAAATAAATCCTTTCAGTCTGGGAAATTCTATTATTTCATTTGCCTTAACGTATTTTCTTGGATGTTGCCTAAGCACTGCTTTTCTGATTCAGGAATCACCATCAGCACTGTGATCTGCCATCTAGTGGCAAAGTTCTGGCACTAAGAGTACATGGAAAATATTTTCATTTTTCTTCTTATAATGTAACTTAAACGTCTTGCAGATATTAGTTAGGAAGCAAACTAAAGCAGAAGTCAATAAAAATGTCAAAGGCAATAATGATTTGATTAGTGTCATTTCTTGGGTCGTGTAAATCTTGAAAAATTAAGACTATTAAAAAGGGAAGGAATCTTAAGAAAAATAATTTCCTGGATAAAACACAATTTTTCAGAGAAAAATGTCCTTGATAGCTAAATTCTTATATTAAAAAAGTTGCCTGTAAGAGCCATGTATATAGAATAGAAGAACAGACCAGGTCATTAGTACTTCAGCAGAGCGAATCAGGATCAGGGACCTCCTATATTATATATATAATATATATATATAATATATATAATTTAATATAAGTTAAATCCAGTCTTTCAAAGAAAAGGTCAACACTTAGTTTTGCATGCTGTGGCTGAAATTTATCCCCCTTAAAGTCAGTAGCAAATTCAAGAAGACTTGCTGAATAAATCCAGCATAGGTTTGTAAGCCAAGTTTAAATAAAAAAAGTGAGAAATGGCCCCATGCGTCTTCCTCGTCTCCATTTCATAATTGCCATCAGATTTATGATAGATTTGCTTAGACAGGTTACAAGACATCCAACTCCAAGTCTTCCTTATGGAACTGGAACTTTAGTGTCCCTGTGGTTTAATCCGTTCAACTGTATTTCTCTTTTCCTTATGGATGACCAAATGATAGTCTTGATATTGAAGTGGAAGCCAGGGGGCTCTGGGCCCTAGACAGGAACTAATTTAGTCTCCCTCTGTAGCATTAGCCAGGATGGTTTTATCAAACAGCGATGTGAGGGTAAGTCTGTGAGACGTTTCTAGAAAAATGCCTAGCACTGCCACTCGTAATTGTTCTTCTTTAAAGTAACTTGCAATGAATGCATTTGCAGTTTCATAAACCCAAATGTTTTGCTCTCTTTTCTTTTAGAGAGTGTCATCATTCACCAGTTACGCATGAACTCTAGATGAGTTACGGCCCCGCTAGAGCTCCCTGTGTGCACTGCCCTCCACGCCCGTGGGATGGATCACTGTAAAGCTCCCTGCCATCAACACCAGGGTCACTTGTGCTACTGACTATTCGTGGAAGTATTAGTGCTTCCATTAGATTTTATATATTTTTTTCTCTTTGTAGGGCTTTAAAAATGAAGGGCCTTGCTGGCATTTTGAAAGTACCTAGTCAGAGAGAGAGAAGCAGTCTTTCTGCCAGCTGAATTTCACTTTTATTTGCAAAGCCTAAGGCATGTGCTTGATTTTGTTTGATGTTTGCCATATAATTTATTTTTATAATACACTTTGTAAAGTAACTGTCCCAAAGTTGCAATTCCTGTTGCTCATGGCGCATTTATTTGTAGAATACACTGTTAAATTTGCAATTTGATATTTTTGTAATAGAGAGTATGTAAAGAAAAATGTAACTACAGCAATGTTTTGAGTTTAAATGGAAAAGTATTCAGCACTGCTGTATGGAATTTGTACTATTGCAGAATATTTCTTGCACTGTGTGATGGTTTGGCATAAAATTAGGTATTAAAGTCCAATGCCTTGAAATACAACCAGATTTGCTCATTTTAAACAGTGTAAGCCAGTTTTTAAAGCTGTGATTTTTTTTTTAATGTAAAGTATGTTTTTACTTCTGCCTGTACCAAAAAAAGGTTGATTTTCATTACACTGTAACTAATAAATTTTCACAACTATGCAAATATAATCAAGTGTTTGCATTTTAACTCCAGTTGCTTAAGGCTGGCAGTGCTCATCTGTGTATTTGTTTATGGGGACAGAATTATGGGTTTGGAAGTTCCTTTTTCTGACTTGTGTCTCATATGGTGTCACAGTGATGTACAGAGTAAAACTGATTCATGGAATCCTAGGATGGTTTGGGTTGGAAGGACCTTAAAGATCATCTAGTTCCTAACTCCCAGCTGTGGGCAGGGACACCTTCCACTAGACTGGGTTGTTCAGAGCCCCATCCAACCTGGCCTTGAACACTTCCAGGGATGGGGCATCCACAGATTCTCTGGGCAACCTGTTCCAGTGCCTCACCACCCTCACACTAAAGAATTTCCTCTTAATACCTAATCTAAACTGTCTTTCAGTTTGAAACTATTCCTCCTTATTCTGTCACTACATGCTCTTCTAAATAGTCTCTCCATCTTTCTTGTAGGCTCAGAAATTAAGGAGAGGGATCAATCACTAATCTGTTAATGACTTGATTGTTTCTAATCTTGTGCATCACAGCAGTGGCAGAGATGTTTGACTGCTACAGTCAGAATCTTTAGTCCTGGACTAGCAGGACTGTAAAACTTAGACATCATGCACTCTGCACGTGCAGAAGGGCCCCTTTTACACTGGTAGCTGTAGCTTCTCAAGTAGCATCCAGAGAGTTCTGTGGCAGCTATACTTAAGATGATTTTTGAATTAATTATATCTAAATCTACATACAACCCAGGCAGAGTCTTTTTTTTCTTATACATTTCATAATCAATTATTTTTAATATAAGTCATTGGCACATATTTAAAATACTGCAGATTTTTTAACTGCAGAAGCTACTGGGAGAAACTACTTTTTTGGAAGGGAAAATGGTGATGCTTGAAGAAGATGTGCTGTGAGACACCAGAAAGAGTGCATTAACTCAGCATCCCACTGGGATGACTAGGTCCATCTTCGAAGCTGGAATATTGCATTGCTGTGTATTCAATTTGATCTTCATTGGAGCCATGGGAGCTGTTTTTCCTTCTGTAGGAGGAGTTCTGCAGCAAATGCTGACATTGTAGAGAAGCAGGATATTCTGGGATCTGCTTTGGAGTTGATCTCCACTGTAAAGAGTTTGCTAATACAGCTATACTGAGGAATCAAAATAAGCGCTGCTTATCCTGGCAAAAGAGTCATTTTGTTGGTATAGCTTATGCTTAGCTAGTACACCATGTTTTTTAAGGAGTGGATTTTTTTGTACAGCAGACAAGGTATGCCAATAACATAACTGTGTCTGTAGATCTTATTTTAGAGCAACCCGAGAACAATTCCAGCTTTCAGAGAGCAATACAGCTGAAGTGAATAAAGTTTAGTGTGTGCCACATAGTGTTTACTGCTCAGTAGAATGAATATTGTAGTGACCCAGATCTTCCATTTTCAAAACATCACTTTGGAATCAAAACCTATATATGTTAAGATCTACACTGAGCTCATCTGGAATGAAAATCCTGGCTATTTGAAAGTGATGGTGACACGTCTGAAATAAACTTCAGCTTTTAAATATGAGTAAGCCATAAGTAAAATCATATTCTGAAATTGAGTCTACATTTAAAAGGTCCAAATCAAAGTAGAAAATATTTTTCCTTGTCTAGATTTTAATATAAAGCCACTTCAGTATGAGTGTAAGTTTACGATACCTAAACAAATTGCAAATACATTGTTTTAAGTTTTTAAGCTTCACAAAATAAAGGTTTGTTTAAAGCATAAATTCTTCAAGATATATTTGAAATAATTTAGATTTTAAAATAATTTTGATGAGCTGCAGCACTTTGGAGTAGGAGGCTGGTGATTTCATCTTCAATGCATTTATGTTCCTGGTCAATTTTTTTTACATTACCTTATTTGGATATGAATCTAAGACAAATAAGTAATAAAAGTGCATTAGCCACATAATTAGCCTGTATTTCAGAGACACTCAGGAAGAAATCTATTAATATAGACTAAAGATGATTAATTTCTACAAGTATTGTCATCCTAAAGGAGGTAATCAGGAAGTTCTTTCAGACTAAGACAATTTAGAGGCTACCTTGGGCTAAAGATATCAGTAGCTTTTAAGCAATAGAAAATCAGTGAAAGATCTACTTTTCTCTTAAAGATCTCTTCCTGTCTAAAGAGGATTGAAAGACCTCTGTGGGTATAGTTATAGGTGATAAAATACAATGTTTCAATCTATTAAAAAAATCTCAAATACTTTGATTTCTAGGGAGAAATTATGCAGCCTGTGAGTTTTCCTTGCTGTGAAATATAATTGGACAAATTTAACATGTCCTTTCTTGCCAGTCCTCTCACACCTGGCAGCATCAGGTCCCAGCTTCCCAATATTGCCTCTCAGTTATCCTGCTGCCAGAGAAATTTCTTGCCATCTCTCAGCACAGACTTACAAGCAGTCTTATTCCTTTGGGATCCCAGGTTGTGCTTCCCTGATTCACTGTAAGGCTGTGGGACTAAATGTTGCTATAGCTGAAGGTGGTAATGGAAAACAGAATATAATAAAGAAAAGGGTGATATTAGGGACAAGCAGCTTAGCTATGGGGAATGGAAGCAAAAGGTGGGGCCCACAAGATAATGGAAAAGATAAACTAGGAATGAGATATAGTTTTACCACAGATGACACAAGGAATACGATTAACTTTTGTACCCCATACAGTTTTTTAGTCACCGAATTAATTCTTAAATTTTAGATGCTTATATGTCTAAATTCCCTATGCTGTCTATGACAAGAGGCCTTCTGAGCCTCCTCAGAGGCTCATTTGCACAAGTCAGTTGCTCCCCCCAGTGGTCTTGGCTGATACTCTTGCTGTTCCAGAGAACTAAAAGGCATTTATTTTAGGGAAACTATTCTACAGGCAGCTAAAAAGTCTTAAGACTGGAACTACATGCTTATAAAGTTATTAAATAATTCTAATTATTTTCCTCTAAAGTCAAGTAAATACATAAATACTTGCTGAAAGTGGATTTCGGTTACACTCTAGAGACTACAAAGGAAGGACTACAGAGTCCTCACAAAGAGTAATGCAGAAGTGCCAATAAAGTGAGAAACATGGACTTTCAATGTTGCATTAGGGTGAGGAAAGCCTGCTAAGGCAGGTATTCTGGGATACAAATACATAGTCCCGCACTGCGTTCCACAAGATGACTGTTTCTTCACAGGAAGGGTGTTAAGCATTGGAATGGGCTGCCCTGGGAGGTGATGGAGTCACTGTCCCTGGAGGTGTTTAAGAAAAGACTGGAACGTGGCACTTAGTGCCATGGTCTTGTTGACATGGTGGTGTTTGGTCACAGGTTGGACTTGATGATCTCAGAGGTCTTTTCCAACCTAATTGATTCTGTGATTCTGTGATTCTATGTACTGCAATCACATTAACTCCTAAGGGCAATGCAACAACTCCGACAGGAACATCCATATGTATAAGTATCTGAAGGGAGGGTGTCAAGAGGATGGAGCTAGGTTCTTTTCAGTGGTGCCAACCAATAGGACAAGAAGCAACGGGCAGAAACTGATGCACAGGAAGTTCCACCTGAATATGAAGAACTTCTTTACTGTGCAAATGACCATTCACTGGAAGAGATTGCCCAGAGAGGTTGTGGAGTCTCCCTCACTGAAGACATTCAAGCACCTTTTGGATGCAGTCTGGTGTGATGTGCTCTAGGATGACCCTGCTTGACCACGGAAGTTGGACTAGATGGCCCTCTGTGGTCCCTTCCAACCTGATCAATTCAATTTACTGCACTGATTCAGTCACACAGTTCCTGACAGCTGACCAAAAGTGGTGGTTAGCACGCACGGCTCCATTAACTCTCCTGCATTATTACATCTCTATAGTTGCACTAATCCTAGTTATGAGAGCAAGAAGCTGAAAGTGAAGCTGAAACTGACTTCTCCATTTTCGACCCATTGGATGATGCCTTTTACCAGCACCCCTCCCCATGGCAATGGGAGGACGAGGGGCGGGAGAGGGCCCTCCTGGAGTGCTGGGGGGAGGCTGCGGGCCCAGGCCTCACCCGGACAATGGGGCACAATACGGCTGGATTTAACTTTGCCCTGTGTGTAATACAGGAGATCCCTGCCCACAGCCCTGCCCAGCTCAGCAGCGCCTGCGCGGCCAGCACACAAAACATTTGAGGAGCGACTGAGGGAGCTGGGGTTGTTTAGCCTGGAGAAAAGGAGGCTCCTGGGGGACCTCATCGCTCTCTACAACTCCCTGAAAGGAGGCTGTAGTGGGGTGGAGGTCGATCTCTTCTGCCGTTCCTGCAGTGAGAGAACAAGAGGAAATGGCCTGAAACTGAGACAGGGAAAATTCAGATAAGTTATCAGAAAAAAAATTTCACTGTTAGTGTGCTGAGGCATTGGAATGGGCTGCCTAGGGAGGTGTTGGAGTCACCATCCCTGGACGTGTTTAAGAGGTGTCTGGATCTGGCGCAGGGTGCTGCGGTTTAGAGGCTCAGGGGTTACAGCAGTAGTGCTGGGTGGGCGGTAGTACCGCATAACCTCCCCAGTCTCTCCCAGTCTCTATGACCCCACGATTCCCTAATCCCGCGCTTTAAGGAAGGGCGCGGCCCGTCTGCGTCACCAGCCGCGCGCCTGCCGGTCCTCGCCGCTGCCGAGTGCGCAGGCGCGGTGCCCGGTCACGTGTGCGGCGGTGCCGGTGGTGCGGGCGCCATGGCGGTGAACTACAGCGCCAAGGAGGAGGCGGACGGGCACCCCTCGGGCGGCGTTGGCGTCCCAGGCGGCGGTGCCGTGGGCAGCGGCGGCGGAGGGGGGGCCGTGAAGACTCGCAAGCCCGACAACACGGCGTTCAAGCAGCAGCGGCTGCCGGCCTGGCAGCCCATCCTGACGGCGGGCACGGTGCTGCCGGCCTTCTTCATCATCGGCCTCATCTTCATCCCCATAGGCATCGGCATCTTCGTCACCTCCAACAACATCCGCGAGTACGAGGTGCGTGCGGCGGGGGTGC